TATTGGCTCTCACCCATCTGGCTACATGCTCCTGGAAAACCTACTTCCCCTCACTGCCATACATCACTTTCTCTTGGTTTCCCTCAACACACTGCACCCCTTCTCAGTCTCCTCTGCTCTCATTGGCCCTTGGTCCTCTGGGCTCCACCGTTGGCATTTTCTCTTCTGCTTCTCTCTCTCTTTCTCTCTCTCTTTGTCTCTCACTCTCTCTTTGTCTCCTCCTCTTCCTCCTCCTCCTCCTCCTCCACTCCCCTGGAGTTTAACGCAGCACATGTGTGAATGACACCAACACAAACACCCCCTGCCCTGGCCGGCCATGAACTCCAGGTTCCTGTGTTCAACTAACCTCTTGACAGCTCCACACAAATGTCAAAAAACCATTTCAAATCTACATAAAACATTTATTCCTAACCACCCCATTCAAATTACTTTTTACACAATCGTTCCCATCTCAATACACAGCTCCACCAAGTTTATTCAGATTGTCCAAGATAAAATCCTTAGGGATTGTGATTCCTTCCCCATTTCATCCAGAATGAGTCATGGAAATATCTACCCCAGATCTGCTCACGTCCCCTTTCCCGCTGCCTTTGCCGCACACACTAACTGAAGCCCAAGCCCGTCACCTGGGCGCTCTACCATGCTCCTCAAGGGCCCCCCGACTCCACTTCTGAACCCTGCAATCCAATCCTCCCTGGTAGCTGGGATTATTGTTTTTAATAAGCATACGTGAAATCTCCTGTAACCCTTAGCAGTTCACATGTCTCTTCAGATAAAATTCAAACTTCTTACCCACCCATCAGGGCCCAATATGATTTGTCTCTCATCTCCCCCAGCCTCTTCCTATGTCAATGTCATTCCCCAACTTGCTCGCTTGCTGCAGCCTCGCTAGCCTTCTTCCTGCCCCTTCAACACGGCAAACACATTCCCACACTGTGGCCTCTCCCTCTCCCTCTCCCTGGGACACTTGTCCCCTAGATCTTCACAGGGTGGCTTCTCATCATCCAGGTCTCAAGTGTCACTTCCTCAGCACTTGAACTGATGTCAGGTGAATCCATGCTCTCTGTCCTATAACCCTGGGGTATTTTTTTTTCAAAGCAATTATGGCTCTGAATTTTTTCTATATTAAGGGGTTCACGGAGAAAGGAAAGGAGATGGTGGGGAGGCCCCTGGATACATCTCACATAGTAGGGAGAGGCACCAGCATCACAGATTCTGCTGAGGACAGAACACAGGGTCCTCAAAGAGAAACCCTCTAATTCCTTTTGACTCCACATAAAACGTCAGAGATATGTTCCTTTCAGGGATAACTCAATACAATAAATGGAGCACTGAGTGGGAATCAGTCTGAGATCATTATTTCTCAATCCTCTCAAGACCCCCATGGAAGGGGACACAGGCTGGGGAGGGTTACTGGAGGCGAGGTGAGAAGAACAGCTGAGATACATGGAACCCCTTGCACATCTCATAGTGGCGAGCACCAGCCCCTTTTGTGGTGGAAAGAATCAAGATCCATATGGTAAAGGCAGGTGGCAACTGAAGAAAATGCCACCATTTTCTAATGGACATGGCCTGGACACAATGACAAAGCTAATTCCCTTTCTTCCTCCCCCACAACAGCTCACCCCCAAGGTGCACTTACATGGGGTGTCCCTGGCCTGAGCCAGGGGAGGGTTCAGTGCCATCAGCATCACCTTCAGAGCGGCCATCCAGGAGCCTCCGGGGAGCCGCAGACACACCATGCTGGAGCTCAGAGAGGACAGGGCCAGGGAGCAGGGGGGTCTCACTCAGTGAGGACTGTGACCCTTCTCCATGGACATCCCAAAAACTCCAACTGAGGGACTCATTTCTGTGTTCTTTGATTGGGTCATCTCAGTATTGAGAACCATTGAGCATCAGAGATGACAGCATCATCAGTTGCTGGTCAGAGATCAGTAGAAGTTCTTCTTCTGAAATTAAATTTCCTGCATTAAAA